GGAGCTGAGCCAATCCAAAGCCAGGAGCCAGGAGCTTCCTCCTTGTCTCCCACATGGTACAAGGTCCCAAAGCTTTGGGGCGTCCCTAACTGCATTTCCAGGTCACAGGCAGGGAGCTGGGTGGGAAGCGGAGGTGCCGGGATTAGAACTAGTACCCATATGGGATCTCGGTGCGTGCAAGGTGAGGACCTTAACTGCTATGCTATCACGCCAGGCCCTTAATATATATATGTATATATAGAGAGATACTGTCGATTTTCTATATAGAGATATACTGTCTACATATGAAGGCTGTTTTATTTCTTCCTTTCCAATCTAGATACATTTATTTCTTCTTTAGTTTTTACACCTCCAGTGCAACAGAAATGAGTGCTCAGTGTCATGGAATCAGGTGAAAACGAGTCCAAATTTCTTTCAATGAAGAAAGTGCCTTGGGCCTGGTGCTTAATAACCAAAGTCCTTGCCTTGGATGCACTGGGATCCCATATGGATGCCAGTTCTAGTCCTGGCAGCCCTGCTTCCCATCCAGCTCTCTGCCTGTGGCTTGGGAATTCAGTCAGGGAAAGCCCAAGGCCTTCAGACTTTGCACCCATTTAGGAGACCCAGAAGAAGGGCTTCAGACTGGCACAGCTCCGGCTGTTGCAGCCACTTGGGCAGTGAATCATCGAATGCAAGATCTTTCTCCGTCTCTCCACCTCTTCATATATCTGACTTTCCAATAAAAATAAATCTTAAAAAAAAACCTCCTTATTCACCACCTCAAGAGCAATACATCCATAAAAACTGATTTTCGCCATAGGTCCTTTATAGAAATCCTGTATCAAGTAGAGAAAATTCCATTTGGTTCATAATTTTATCAGAAATCAGTGCTGGGTTGTTAAACATCTGACTTTATTGAGATGATATAGTATCCTGGCTGCTCCATCCTGCTCCCTGTTGTGGCCTGGAAAGCAGTAGAGAATGGCTCAAAGCCTTGGGACCCTGCACTCACGTGGAAAACCAGGAAGAAGCTCCTAGCTTCAAATCAGCTCAAGTCTAGCCTTTGCAGCCTCTAGGGAGTGAACCAGCAAATGGAAGAGCTTTTTCTTTGTCTCTCCTTCTCTCTATAAATCTGCCTTTCTAATAAAAAAATTTGAAAATCCTTACATTTTTATTTATTTGCTTATTTATTTTTAGCTATACTGATGTATGGTTCTCCAATTTCATGTCTGTTTGCTTTTGGTATTAGGATGATACTAGACACACAACTTGAAAGTATTGTGTTCTCCAGAGGAGTTTGTAAAAGATTGTTACCATGTGGGGGCCCGGCGCAGTGGCGCAGTGGTTAAGGTCCTCACCTTGCACACCCGGGATCCCATATGGGCACCGGTTCTAATCCTGGCAGCTCCGTTTCTCTTCCAGCTCCCTGCCTGTGGCCCGGGAAAGCAGTTGAGGACGGCCCAAGGCTTTGGGACCCTGCACCCGCGTGGGAGACCCAGAAGAGGCTCCTGGCTTCGGCTAGGCATAGCATCGGCCGTTGTGCTCACTTGGGGAGTGAATCATCGGACGGAAGATCTTCCTCTCTGTCTCTCCTCTCTGTATATCTGCCTTTCCAATAAAAAAATAATAAAAATGAATCTTTAAAAAAAAAAAAGATTGTTACCATGTGAACACTTGCTAGAATTCATCAGTGAACATGTTTGTGCCTGAGATTTCCATGGTGGGAAGATTTATCAGTGTACTAATTCAATCTCTTTATTTGGTATAGGCCTACAGGTCTATGATCTACTTGAGTCAGTTTCAGTAATTTGAGACTTTCTAAGTAGTTGTTTATCCAAGTTGTCTAATTTGTCACCATAATTTTGTTGATTCTATTGCTTAATCAGTTTCTACAAGATTGGTAATGATGCCCTCTTTTTTTCTTTCTACTTATGACTGAAAGCTGAATTTTATTTTTCAACTATATCAATCATATGGATACATTCATTTACCAGTTTAATATCACTAAATGTCCTTTTACTTGCAATACTTGGTAGAAGTCACAGGTGAAATTGGTATTATTAACAAACAGACTTTAATTTTTTCACATTTCTTTAACGACCATGGAAGAAGTGATGTCCAGAATACTTAAATAAGCAGCACTGCATGACCGCTGGCCAATCAGATTTTGGAGTGTTCCTGCCGAAAGGGAGACCTAGCTATCGGATCATGCGAAGATTTTGAAGTAAGTATCCCCAAGAAGAGGGATCCCGGTAATCGAGTACTTCTATTTGCCAATATGCACGCAAGTTCAACGTTAAACAATTTCAGCTGAACTGGTACAAAATGGCTAGATATTAATTCCTTGTATTTTAAATTCTCTAATGTGTTTTCATCTTTATCACTTCTATAAATCTGCATATGCCAGGTTTAATTTAGGTTTTTTGTTCTAGATTTTTTAAAGAAATTCATACATTTTCAGTCTATTTTCTGATTTCACTGTGAGTTCTTTGATCTTTAACTTGGGAAGTGAGTTCCAAGAGTTCAAACATGGGAATTTCTAATTACCTGTATTACTAAATTACACCGAGTTCAGGGAGATGCCTTCTAGGGTTAGTTTGTTGATACCAGCAGAGACCTACTTGTAGCCTAGCACAGCTGGTTTGCATACTTGCTGTTTCTACTTCAGTGGATGTATTTGTTGTGCCAACTATTTGTTGGCAGCAAGATTTTTTTTTTTAAAGATTTGTTTTTTATTACAAAGTCAATATACAGAGAGGAGAGACAGAGGGGAAGATCTTCCATCCGATGATTCACTCCCCAAGTAACTGCTACGGCTGGTGCTGTGCCGATCCGGAGCCAAGAGCCAGGAACTTCCTCCAGGTCTTTCACACAGGTGCAGGAACCCAAGGTCTTGGGCTTTCCTCGACTGCTTTCCCAGGTCACAAGCAGGGAGCTGGATGGGAAGTGGAGCTGCCAGGATTAGAATTGGCACCCATATGGGATCCCGGTGCATTCAAGGTGAGGACTTTGGCTGCTAGGCTATGCTGCCGGGCCCAAGCAAGATTCTTAATATTTAAGTCTTAATAGTTTAATCTTTTTATCTAATCTGTTAGTAAAAGAAAGTGATGTCAATATTTTGAAAAATGAAGATTTCTCATTTTGTTCTTACACTCCTTTCCCTATTTTGCTTTACATGGTTTAAGGCTACAGTTTTAAGATACACAGAAGATTAAAAATTGCTTCATACTCTTACGTGTTTTTCAATATCTTTTTATCAATAATTCCTTTTACCTCAAATTCTATTTTGTCCGCTGTTAATGGATCTATAACTGCTTTTCTTTGTTTTTACTAGCCATAATGGTTGGAGCTGAACCGATTCAAAGCCAGCAACCAGGGGGCTTTATTTCTGGATTTCCCATGAGAGTGTGGTTGCTCAAGAACCAAGGCCATCGTCTTCTGCTTTCCCAGGCTGTAAGCAGAGAACTAGATCAGAAGTTGAGCAGCCAGGACTCAAGCTGATGACCCTATGGAATGGTAGTGCTCCTAGTAAGGTAGTCTAGGAGCTAAAGTCCTCGCCTTGCATGTGCAGGGAACCCATGTGGGCACCGGTTTTGATCCCGGTGTTCCTGCTTCCCATCCAGCTCCCTGCTTGAGGCCTGGAAAGCAGTCGAGGACAGCCCAAAGCTTTGGGACCCTGCACCTGCGTGGGAGACTTGGAAGCTCTAGCTCCTGACTTTGGATATGCTCAGCTCCAGCCATTGTGGCCACTTGGGGAGTGAATCAATGGATGGAAGATCTTCTCTCTGGCTCTCTCTCCCCTCTGTATCTCTCTCCCCTCTGTATATCTGACTTTCCAATAAAAATAAATAACCTTAAAAAAAAAAAGAATGCCAGTGCTACAGGCTGAGGATTAGTCTGTTATGCCACCATACCAGCCCTGTTTCTAAATTTTCATGGGCATGTTCATCTTGAAATGCCACATACTACATCAGTATTACCTTTCCAAAGTCCTGCCTACTCTGTGCTTCCAGTTAAATTCCTGCGTGCCTGGGAAGCAGTGGATCATGGTCCATGTACTTGGTTCCTGCCAGCCACACGAAAGACCCAGATTAGTTTCCTTGACTCCTGGCTTTGACTGGGCCTATTTTTTGCAGGCATTTAAGGAGTGAATCATGGATGGAAGACTCTCTCTTTCTCTCTGTCATTCTACCTTTCAAATATATAAATATCCTCATTTTCTGCTGAAGACTGACCTAACCAATAACTCTGTTTTCTACTCAAACAACATTCATGTATTTAGAACTTTGAAGGAACATCTACTTTTCACATATGGCTACTGGAAGGAAAATGTCAAGAGTAATCCTGATGCGTTACTATCATATCACCAAAACTAGCAATAGGCACACCCCAATCATGCCTCAAACTAATTTAATCAGTTTCCTCTTAAAGAACCATCTTGAAATACTTCTCAGCTGAGGCATAACTAGAGAATGGTCCACTGGCCCACTGTGCCCACCAGTCCTGCATGCTGAAAGGTGTTTAGAAACTCTGGTCCTTGCCCACTGAAAGCCAGGAGATGCTCTCTCCTCCCCTACAGAGACAACTTATCTTTCCCTACGTATTATTTCCAAACACCCCTTTGGGACTGGTTCCAATCCAGATGAAAAGTATTTTTTACAAGACATGAAAAGTGCAAAAATGACAAAATTCCTAGCTTTAGAATTGAAGAAACAAAGAGAAATTTTAGTTTTACAAAGGAAATAACAAAAATATTTTTCCTAAATTCAGGAAATTCATTTTATAAGTCAGTTTTGATTAGTAGCTATATTACTTGGTCTCCTTGCCGTACATTTTTCAATTATAAGATTAACTGCAAGTAACAACAAAACAGTAATCATTTTTTAATTTCCTAAAGCCTTATTTCTCAAGGCTAGGATAGAATCCTGTATTTGTTATCTGAATTAAAAAAAAAAAAAAGATTTTATTTGTAATCCTAGCATAGTTATCTATAATCCTAACATAGTCTCCTATTCACAAACCTGTTAGTGTCCCAAATAATGACATTTCCATCAAATCCTGATGTTACTAAGAGTCTTGTATTAGTATCATATTCGATGTTCTTCACCCAGCTAGTATGACCATGTAAAGTGCATACTTTGGTGTTCAATTTTCTCAGATCCCATAGTGCTATTGTAGTGTCATCAGAGCAGGTAGCAAACAGCCGGTTATCAAGAAATCTACAAAAGCAGAAAAGAAAAATTGGTTCATTTAATCTTCCAGGAAAACTTGATTTGAGAAAGTTTAGCCTAATTATCTGATCAAGAAAGAAAACAACTACACACTCACTATATAACCCAGTGATTCTGACATACAATAAATCATTCACATAATCAAAGATTCAGGGTACTATTATTTAATGAGACCACACTGGAATCTGATTCATTTGCTTTTTAAATTATTTTATTTGCAGTTCAGAGCAGCACTGTTTGCATATCACCTGGTAGCCAGAAAAAAATAATTCATTGTCTGAAAACAAAAATGATGAGAGAATTTAACAGAGTATTTTGAAGATCTGCTAGTTGAGGGGGACACATTAAATGTTCCATATCATAAAAAATGTTTGCTGCATATAACATTTCTACATGGAACACATTTATAGACAGAAATTGCTATTTGATTTGCTGTCATTTATAACCTATTAATTCAAAGCCACTCCCCAAATAATCTCACAAGCAACATTAGGACCAGTCAGGATTTTACATGATTAGAATACTTCATGATTACCATTTTATAGTAATTCATCAATCCTTGGTGGGAATTTATTTTATCCAAATACTTTAAAAATAACAAATCTATCATTTACACTCAAATTTCTAATTTAACATTAGAAATTTTAGACGTTTTCCCTAACATATGCTGTTATGACTGTTTTTAAAAGTTCATGGTGGGAAAAAAAAAAGGTGGGTCTCGGACGAGGGCGTTCATGCCTGGATCTCGGCGGCCGCATGGGACATGGTGTGCCGTTCTCCCCGGGCCTGGTGGGTTTCGGGGGCGCTTCTTGGGGTGAGGTAGACCGGGGGGGGAGGCCTCGGGACTGGGCAGGCCGGGGGGCCCACCCGCCGCTTCATGGGGCGGTGAATGGGCATTTGGGAGGGGGAGACCTAGGGCTGGGTTATTTAAACCAGCACCCGGTGGCAGTGGTGGGTCTCAGGAGGGGCGTTCAGGCCTGGATCCCGGACGGCCCCCCATGGGCACATGGTTGTAGCGTTCTCCCCGGGGGCTGTGGGTTTCGGGGGCCGCTTCCTTCGGGGTGATAGACCGTGGTGGGGGGAGGCCCTCGGGTTAGGCAGGGTGGGGCACAACGCGCCTTCATTGGGGCGGTCGAATGGATTTGGGAAGGGCGCGCGACTTGGGCTGGGTTATTTAAACCTCCAGCACGGCTGGCAGTGGTGGGGTCTCAGGACGGGGGTCTCATGCTGGATTCCCGGCGGCGCCAGGGCAATGGTGAGGTTTCTCCCGGGTGCTGGGGTTTCGAGGGGTTCGCTTCCTTCGGGTTCTCGGTGAGTAGACGAGGGGGGGGAGGCTCGGGAATGGCAGGACGGGGCCACGCCGACTTCATGGGGCGGTGATGGGATTGGGAGGGGGCGCGGACTTGGGCCTTGGGTTATTTAAACTCCCTGTCACCCGGCTGGCAGTGTTGGGTCGCAGGACGGGGGTTATGCCTGGATCTCGGAACGGCCGCCATGGGACATGGTGAGCCGTTCTCCCGGGCCTGGGGGTTTCGGGGGCCGCTTCCTTCGGGGTGATGTGAGTAGACCGAGGGGGGGAGGCCTCGGGACTGGTCAGGTGGGGCACACCCGCGCCGTCATTGGGGGCGGTGAATGGATTTGGGTGGGGCGCGACTTGGGGCCTGGGTTATTTAAACCTCCGCTCCCGGATGCAAGTGGTGGGTCTCAGGACGGGGCGTATCATCGCCTGGATCCCGGTCGGCCCAATGGGACATGGTGAGACGTATTCTCCCCGGGCTGCTGGGTTTCGGGGGCGCTTCCATCGGGGTGGTTAGGACGAGGGGGGGGGGCTCGAGGCCCTGGGTGGTGGGGCCCACCGCCGTTTCTTGGGGCGGTGAATGGGATTTGGGAGGGGGCGACCTTGGGCTGGGTTATTAAACCTCCTGCACCCGGCTGGAAAGCTGGTGGGTCTCAGGACGGGGCGTCTCATGCTGGATCCGGACGGCCCCCATGGGCACATGGTGAGCGTTCTCCCGGGCTGCTGGGTTGGGGGCGCTTCTTCGGGGTTGAGTAGACGAGGGGGGGAGGCTATGGATGGGAGGTCGGGGCCACCGCGCCTTCATGGAGGCGGTTGAATGGGGATTTGGGAGGGGCCGCGACCTGGGTGGGTTATTTAAACCTCCAGCACCGGCTGGAGTGGTGGGTTCCGGAGGGGGCTCTTCATGCCTGGATCCGGAACGGACCCGCATGGGCACATGGTGAGCGTTTCGGGCTGCTGGGTTTGGGGGCGCTTCTTCGGGGTAGAGTAGACCGGGTGGGGGAGGCCTCCGGGATGGGCGGTCCGGGGGGCCCACCGCGCTTCATGGGGCGTGTGAATGGGATTTGGGCAGGGGCGCGACCTCGGGCCTAGGGTTTTTAAACCTCCAAGCACGGCTGGAGCATGCGTGGTTCAGGACGGGGCGTCTCATGCCTGGATCCCGGACGGTCCGCCATGGGCACATGGTGAGCGTTCTCGGGCGGCCAGTGCGCCATGGTGCCAGGCTCCGCTGCTGGCCGCCCGGCCGGGAGTTGGGGATTTGGTTCTTGGTTGCTGCTTAATTAGCTCAGGTTGAACATTGTGTTTGCTTGACTGAACTGGCATTAAACTTTCCTTAGCAAAACTTGTAATCACTAATAATGCTGAGCACCAAGACCCAGGTATGCAGAAGCTATGGTTGGGCTTGTCCTGCCTGTAGCTCCAACGGCTGGCCAAAGTGTCAACTGGTAATGGAAAGAGTAGATTAGGCACGACTGAGCAAACTTAGCCACAAGTAAAACTAGAAACAAGGAGGGAGCAGAGGTCCATGCGAGCTAGGCTCTTGTTTACTGTGGTCTGTGGGAGATGGGACGCTAAGCCACTGTGTCTAGGCAGAGTTCGGGACAGGGGAGGGGCTGTGCCAAGCTGATCAGAGCATTCATTGGCAGGCATGTGATCTATGGTGGGAAAAGACCGGTTGGGGAGCAAAGGGACAACTAGTGGGCTGAGGTTCCACCAAGCGGCGCGTGGCTGGCGGGGCTGCGTTCTGAACTGGAAACAGTGGTTAGTCTCCCTTGGCAGAGTGTTTGGGATTGAATGCACCGAACTGGGCGGACCGATCCTGGTGTTCTGGAGGACCAGGGCAGATGTGGGATGGACTATGCAGGGGTCTCAAACGCACTGAGCAATGTGTGAGATACGTGGTATGGACAAACATGTCTGGGCTGGAAATCAACTGCAAGAAAGATTGGTTTGAAGGCAGTCAGGAAAAGCCACAGTTTGCTATGGACAGGAGGTTGATGGAGTAGGGTTGGCTCATGACCACGGGTAAGCGTGAAACTGGCATTCGGGACGAGGTTCTGATGGAGAGCAGCATGGGCTATCTTCTGGCAGGGCACAGGACCAGCAGGGTAAAGCAGAAAAATGATATGGAACAGCCAGAAAAAGCCATGGAAAACTACCCTGGCATACAATGGCAGGATGGGGCAAGACCCAGGCTGAATTGTCCTCGTTTCCACTGGCAAATCCAGGCACCAGTGTGGGTCGACCAGGTTCGGTTGCAACAAATGCTAGTGCACATTATGGAATGCCGGTGAGGTTGACTGTCGGAAAGGTGACGCAGCGCCCACCAGCCTGAGAACAAGAAAGGAAGTGGCAGAGGCTGCAGGGGAATAAGGGAGGGTTCCTTTGCTGGAAGTACTTACACAGGAGAGCAAGGGCTGGGATGGGGGGCCAGACCAGACTAGGCAGGAGCTACCACACTGTGCGCCTATTTGGATAGATAGGGAAAGGCCAGGCTGGCCAGATTATTCTCCTGGTGCAAACAAAAATTAAAGTGGCGAGTTTGTTTGAGGAGCTTCATATGGAATCTGGGATTGGGAGAGGCTGGGAGGGAATAGTGGGCGATCCTCTTGGGTTTCACTTCCATGGGAGGACATAAAAATATGACAGCGGTGGGTGGATGGGTGTGGGACCAGACTGGATTCTGTACACTTACTTGGCAACCCAGGGTCGGGGGTGGGGCTGTTTGGGGTTATTGTGGGTGCTCCAACCTAGAACTGCTCCTGTGGTAGATGTGAGGCCATGTTGTGATGGGCAGAAACCAGGCTGGACTGCAACACCATTGGTTCCAGTGGAAGTCGGGTGTGGAAAAAGAACACCCAGGAATTTGCGAACCACAGCTGATTGGAGGCATGGACGGTGCAGGCCTCCCTGTACTTGTTAGCATCAAGAAGTTTGTTTGGAGCATTCTCTAATCTAATGATGGACTCAGACCCCTAACGAAGAAAAGAGAGAGAAGACAGAACGGGCACAACATTTCTGATAGCTAAGATGGATATGTCAATCAGTTGGAATTTTTCAAGATCTCATTTGCTTGGAGTGGCAAGATTGACAGTGGATTCATTAACTGTTGCAATATCAAGACCACTTGAGCAAGAACCTCAGAGCTGGGGGGGCGCCATTATCGGGACCTGGGAGGGTGGGAAATTGGGTGGGCTTATTCCCTTAACTACCCCCCTTTGAATATGAAGGCTAACATATGGAAAACCTACTAGATTATCCACTTTCTGTAAGCCCTTGAACTTCTACCTATTAACTATGTAAAGAATGTCAAAATAAAATTTATTAATAAGAAAAAAAAAATAAACCTTAAAAAGCAAAAAAAAAAAAAAAAAAAAAAAAAAAGTTCATGGAAAATGGAATTTAAAAATTTATTTTAATGCCAAAACAGTCTGAAATTCCCAGGACAATATTTATTTGTTTAAGAATCATTTATTTGGAAGCCAGGAGCTTCTTTCTGGGCCTTCCACGTGGATGCAGGACCCCAAGACCTTGGGCCGTCCTCCTCTGGTTTCCCAGGTCATAAGCAGGGAGCTTGATAGGAATTGGAGCAGCCAGGACTTGGACCGGGACCCATATGGGATGCTGGTGCTACAGACAAAGGATTCTGCTTATACCACTCTGCCAACCCCAACTTTTCTTTTTTATAACATACATTTTCCATGAACTTTTTTGAAGACCCATCATGTATAACTTCCTAAAGTATTGCAGAAGAAATGAATTTTGGAACTTCGTTCAAGAAAAAATTATATAGTTCTCATCAGAAATCCAACTCAACATTCCTGAACAATGTAATTAGCCTTTCTGAAAGTTATCATGGATATAAAATTCCAGTCTTCACTTAGGCTGCTTCTACTACCTAAAACTGTCTTTCCCTTATCCCTTGATCTGGCCAGCTTTTGCTTGCTTTTAAATATTTGGTTGTCATTCTCTAGTTCTGGGTAGATCTACCAAATCTCTAAGTTTTGAAAGCATTCTACCATCCTACCCTTATAATATATAATGTAGCATAAGGAATAATTTAACAAAATTGTAAACTCCTTGTAGACAGGGAAAACATGTCTGCCTGTTTCATAGGTAGGTCTATAGTACCCAGTGTAGTGCCAAGCACATATGCACTCAACAAATACTTATTAAATGAATGAATGAATGGGAAGAGTTCACTTCCTATTGGAGAAGACGTTCACATAATTACATACAATAATTATATAGACTAAGCAAAATAAGATGGTGCCAGTTAGGAAAGATTTCATAGTGGTGTAATTTGAACTGACTAAAGATGCTCTGAAATTCCCTAGGAGACCAAGAGGTAAGGACAGAAAGCTAGCACTGTGGTGCAGTAGATTAGACCACAGTTTGTGATGTCGGCATCCAGTAGCAGAGAGCTGAGTCCCAGCTGCTCTGCTTCTAATCCAGCTTTCTGCTGATGTTCCTGGGAAGGCAGCAAAAGACAACTCAAATACATGGACTACCACAACATACAGAGGAGAGCAGGATGGCGTTCCTTTATGCCTGGTCATGGCCAATTAGAAAGTGCATTGGCAAACAGATCTCTCTCTCTTTTGCTCTGCTGTTCACACAGAACATGTTAAAGAGGTAAGCAGAAGTATAGAGGCATGTAAAGGATAATGGATTTTGAACAGCATGTAGTATAATACAAATTTGTTCTATAGTGATTTCCAATATCTTTCAATTATATTTCCATTGAAAATATTTTTAAAATAAAAAAATCAATTGATCACCAAAAATAGCCAGTTATGGATGTCCAGTCAATTTCAATGTTTTAAACATGTCATATGTTGAGTTATCAACTAATTTTCATAGATTATTTTTATTGGAAAGGCAGATTTACAGAGAGAAGAGAAAGATCTTCCATCCACTGGTTCACTACCATCCAATGGTAGCAACAGCCAGACATGAGCCAATCTGGAGTTAGGAGCCAGGAGCCTCTTCTGACTCTCCCACAGGGGTACTGGGTTCCCAAAGCTTTGGACCATTTTCCATTGCTTTTCCAGGCCATAAGCAGGGGCTGGATGGGAAGTGGAGTAGCCATGATATGAACCAGTGCCCATATGGGATGTTGGTACTTGTAGGTTGAGGACTAGCCTGTTGAGCCACATGACAGTGTCAAGCCCTATAATTTTTTTAAAAACTAAGTAAATATTCTTATGACTTTGGTGCTTCTCCTGCAACCTCCTAATTAGTTTAATTTAGGAAAACTAGGAATTAGGTTATTAGATAGACTCTTCAGATACAGAAGCCTAAAACTTTTGGCTATTCATAAACTCTAAAACAAATATCCTTACAGCCAAATTCTAATCACATCTCACATCCCTATTTATTTAAGTACATTATCAGAAAAGTGTACTTAAATAAAAAGGAATTTAAAAACATGTTAAGGAAAAAGGGATTGTTGAAAAAGTAATGCTTCTGATACATATAACTGAACATGTATGTCCTCTATAAGAATATACCCATTTATAGTAACACCAGCAATTAAGAGCATCTATTGAGCATGGCACAGTAGCCTAGGGGCTCAAATCCTCACCTTGCATGTGCCAGGATCCCATATCGGCACAAGTTCATATCCTGGTGGCCCTGCTTCCTATCCAGCCCCCAGCTTGTGGCCTGGGGAAGCAGTCAAGGACAGCTCAAGCCTTGGGACACTACACCCATGTGGGAGACCCAGAAGAGGATACTGGCTTTGGATTGGCTCAGCCCCAGCTGTTGTTCACTTGGGGAGTGAATCAATGGATAGAAGATCTTCCTCTCTGTCTCTCCCCCTCTCTGTGTATCTGACTTTTCAATAAAAATAAATCTTAAAAAAAAAAAAAGGGGGGGGGGTGTATTTGCCAAAACCTTTACCATTCTAATTGCTAGGGGAAAACAAAACAAAACAAAACAAAAACACATTTTTTTAGGCTAAAACTTATTTTTAGTAAACTCTTGACATACTTATTGGCAAACTGCATTTCTTTTATGAACTGGTGTCCATGTTCCTTGCTGATTTTCCAACTGCAGTGTTACTGAGCTGTAAGACTCTCCCTAGGTGGTTCATATACCAGCTCTTAAGAAAGTTTATGAAAAAGTATCAAGGAAAAACTGTTTAGGGATCACAAGAATAATGTTCCAAAAAATTTTTATTTTCCACAGGCTTCTTATAGTCCTATATTAGTGTAGCTTATGTTTTCATATTCTATAAAAATTTTGATTCTTTAAAGAAAAAAAAAACTGAAAGGTGTACCTTTATTGGTAAGGCAGTAAAAAAAAAAACTACACTTGCAAAAATTATGACTGAGAAAAACACATAAAGTATTTTTAAAAATAAAAGTTACTGGAAAGTTAGACTTTTAAAATAGACCTGAAAATTTTATAGAAAAATATGATGATATATTATCTACAAAAAATAGTTAATGAGTGTATAGGTAAAGTCCCAATGGGAATAAATTGCTTTGGGACACACCTGAAGGATTTTAAGGGAGAAAATGAGATGATTACATTGGGGTTACAGAAAGATCTCTGAGATGGCTAGGTTCCCAAGCTCACAGATCTTCATACAAAGTATGAAAATGAGGGGCCAGCTTGTAAATTTTTGCTAATAAAGTCATTTTGAAAAACTGTAATTGTTGCACAAATATATTTTCATATTAAAAATGTAGGAGGAATATAATCTTGAAATAGGGGGTAACAATTCTGAATTAAGTATTATTTTAATGAAAATTTCAATATTTCAGGTTTAGGTAGCTTGAATTTGACCTTGAAATACTATCTATTAAAAATTTTGGTACTACTGAGGGGAGCGATGAACACAGCAGATAAGACCTGCAATTCAATATTGGAGTACCCAGGCCAATAAAGCCAGCTCCAGCTACTGAATCTAGCAGAGCGGAAGCCAGCAGGGATGGCCCAGGTTAAGTGGGTTCCAGCTGCCTTTGTGGGGACCAGGATGCAGTGTCCAACTCTTGACTTCTGGTTCGGGATAGGGGCCATTTTGGGCAACTATAGAGTAAAATTGCAGATGGGAGCTCACTTTATCTGTCCCTGTGCCTGTAAAATAAATTGTCTTTAAATGTTAGTATTAAAGAATCATTGGTGTAGAGTAAGTTATGGAATATTACCAAAAATAACTAGGAGCTTTTCCCTAACCTCGATCCTTCCCACCCTGACCAACTATGTAAACATCACAAAAATAAAATTTTAAAAACTAAAAAGTTTAAAAAAGAATAAACTAGGAGATCAGTTTAAAGTATCAAGAATTTTCATCCTGACAGAAGCAAATGTAATGAATGTTTACATATTACACAAGTCCCTGGAGATATGGCCCAGAGTCTTCAATCTCGCCTCGTAAGTTAATAATTATAAAATACTTATAACTCCACAGTTCTTATTGGACAGATGACATTCCAATATACATTAAAATCTATGAGTCTGATTCACAGGGGTTCTCCAAATGTATCCACCAAATCCTAACATGTGACTCTCACAGCTCTGGATGAACTGACTTCTGGATAAATAAAGGTTTTTAATACCAAATGATAATTGATATACATAGTATAAGTGTATAAGATGCATACGATACAAGAAACTGAGTCCTCTTAAAATAAGAACATTTCATTGTACAAGAGAAAGTACTGACTGTTACCTTTAAAAATTTAAATTAAAAATCATGAAAATTGGGGCGCGGCGGTGTGGCCTAGCGGCTAAAGTCCTCTCACCTTGAACGCACTGGGATCCCATATGGGTGCCAGTTCTAATCCCAGCAGCTCCACTTCCCATCCAGCTCCCTGCTTGTGGCCTGGGAAAGCAGTTGAGGACGGCCCAAAGCTTTGGGACCCTGCACCCGTGTGGGATACCCGGAGGAAGTTCCTGGATCCTGGCTTCGGATCAGCATAGTATTGGCCATTGCGCTCACTTGGGGAGTGGATCATTAGATGGAAGATCTTCCTCTGTCTCTCCTCCTCTCTGTATATCTGACTTTCCAATAAATAAATAAATCTTTTTTTAAAAATCATGAAAATAACCTTTTTCTACTGGTTGGACTAAGAATTAATTAAATGTGTTTTTGTATAAATTTGCTAATGAAATTATGATAGCAGCACATGGCATCCTTATTGTCTGCGTTTTGTATTCCAGTGAACAGAAGATCATGAAGGACTTTATTAATTTTCTAGTCTTTCCTCAGTCCTGTGAGATAGTCACACATTCTCTGAAGTGTCTACCACACCATCATTTCTGTTTTGTACTTAATAACTTATCTAATTTCATCAGATCTTCATTTTCCAATGATTTTATGTACAACCTAATAACATCCCTTCTAGGGTTTTATAAAATTGTACATCCATGACAATATAAAGAAATTTCACATTTGTGCTAATAAACATTGCATTTACACTACACTATTTGAAATAAAATAACCAGCAAAAGGCCAACAAAAACAGTGGGAGGAAAAAAAAAATAGCTCCTGGGATTTTTAGATGGATTCTAATGTTTTAACTGTCACTTCACTATGTAAATATTCTTATGGTGACTCCAGGACTTCTTTCTGAAATGATCTATTTGTGCTCAGTTAGGGAAACCAGCACCTGGATCACTGAATGAACTTTTTTTTTTTTAAGGATTTATTTGTTTTTGTTACAAAGTCAGATATACAGAGAGGAGAGACAGAGGGGAAGATCTTCCATCTGATGATCCACTCCCCAAGTGAGTGCAACGGCCAGTGCTGTGCCAATCCGGAGCCAGGATCCAGGAACTTCCTCCGGGTATCCCACACGGGTGCAGGGTCCCAAAGCATTGGGCTGTTCTCGACTGCTTTCCCGGGCCACAAGCAGGGAGCTGGATGGGAAGTGGAGCTGCTGGGATTAGAACTGGCACCCATATGGGATACCAGTGTGTTCAAAGGCGAAGACTTTAACTGCTGGCCACGACGCCGGACCTGAATGAACTCTTAAAATCAGCACAGAAGCCACACAAATGAAAAGCTTGTATGATGGTAAAAACCAAAATTACACTTTCCTCCTTACTTCCCCAAAACATAAAGGAACAGAAAACATTCTCTATAGTTACTAATATTTTTAGAAGCAAACCACAACACTAAGAACTGCACCATAGAGAGCCATTACTGTGGCCTAGCAAGTGAAGCTGCTTCCTGCAATGGCAACATCTCATATGGGTGCCAGTTCATGTCCTGACTGTTCTACTTTTGATCCAGCTCCCTGCTAAAGGCCTGGGAAAGACAGTGGAGAATGGCTCAAGTACTTGTGCCAACCGGATGAACCTCTAGGCGCCTGGCCTGGCGTGGCTCAGCTCTGGACATTGCAGCTATTTGAAGAGTAAACTAGTTGATGGAAGATCTCTTTCCCTCTAACTCTTTCAAATAAATAAGTCAATCTTTTTAAAAAAAAATGCACCTAGAAAACATCATAAAGTACATGCAAAACAACTATTTAAAACAAAGGCAGAAATGCATGCTTCCATCTCTGACCAGTACAGTGAAACCAAGCATGAATTCCAATGTTACCACTTAATATTTATAAAGCCTTGTGTAAAGTTTTGAGTTGCAGTTTTTACATTTCATAAAAATCACAATTTCTGTCTCACACAGGGACAGAGGAAGATAAAATATATAAAAAGTGCTTTCCAGAAAGTATATATAAGCATTCAAAAAACAGAAGTTAGCTTTATTAATAAGTGATGAACACTTAATAAGCTCATGCACCAAGGGGACCCTTGAGATTCTCATCAAGATTCTTATATCCTAAAGTATCAAAATCCATTTCTTCAATCAGCAGATGAGAAGAAAATTCAAATTGGTAGGCGTGGGATGCTACAGCAGTCACACTGAAACAGCAAATGAAAGCTGATGTGAAGAACATGGATTCTAACAGTGGGATTAGTCAGTCATTTTGAGTAGGGACAAACAACCTGAGACTTTGACACAAAAATTTTAAGCTGTAAAATATTAGAGAGTTATTAAAAAACAAACACCTGTGATTCCCACCACCCAGCTTCATTAAACTTTATCATTTTGTTGTCTTTAGATTTTTAGCATAAAAAAAAAGTTTAAAGTACATTGTGTAATCCCTTCCCAACCCCATTCCCTTCCCTCCCTCTCCAGAGGGAACCACTATCCAATATTTGTCATCATTCCCCATGCAAGTGTTTAATCTATGAGTGTGTATGGCTGCATCCATAAATAATGCACAGCACTGCTAAGTATCCGGTGTATTCTGTAGATATTTAACAAGCACAATTACTGCTGGGTATAGGTTCAGGTGCTGGGACAGGGAGAACAAGCACAAACGCATGTTCTCAGCAAGTTGACATTTGTGAGGTTTTCAAATTTATATAATGGTATTGTACAGTTCATTCTATAATTTGCTCTTCTGTCTCAACCTTAAATTTGGCATGCACTACCAGATGCTGATGCTTTCAGTTCAATTATTTTAACTGATGTATAGTATTCCATGGTATGAGTACTTCAAAATTATGCTTCCCTCTTAATGGACATTCCAATTGCTTCCAACTTCTATTATTAACAAAATGGATCTTCTTTATCTAACCTTGTTCGTCTGTGCTTTAATTTCTTAAAAAAAAAAAACCCTCACCTCTGCAAAACCACTCTTCAAAATGATTTTTGCCAATTTATATTTCATTAACACTTTCTAAGAGTTTCCATTTCTCAACTTCTTTGACAATACCTGACATTTCTTGTTGGTTATTTATGCATTTCTATGATACCTACTAATAAGCTTTAAAGTCATCTTTCCATTTTTATTGTTCATTGTATTTTCCCTGCAGAGTCTCTATTTTGCATAATGTTTGCCATATTTTAGATACTGATCCTTTCCTGGAGATGTACATTACAAATTAATGTCACAACCAGTCTGTCTTTCCACTCTATGATGTCTTTAGTCACAAAAAAGCTTCACATTTTCTTTTTATAGACACATTACATTTACTCAGAAATGTGTGTATATAAGTACCCAAAGAAAGTAAAGCTAATATTATCAAGATTAGGTAAGTTTCATGTTACAGAATATAAACTGATAAAGAATGGATAAAACGTCAATAGTAAACACACAGACTTTGTGGCTTGCGAATTTTGCCTTTTTGATCATCAGTACTCTTTTAACAATAATGCTAAAAATTACGTATCATAATAAAACTGGTCCATGAAATCAATACAACAGCTGGGCATTAGACATTTTATTTATGAGCTCTTTTTATTCAGAGCAAATTTGTATTTTTCATTCCTGTAAAACTTCGTACTTTCATGTGTTCAATGTAATCCTTAATGGTTTATTCTTTCTTGTCTTAAAAAACCCTTTCAAAAGGAATGTAATATATTATATATTCTGCAAGTTTAAAGATTTGCTTTCAAAATCAGGATCTTAACTGGGAACTATTTTCAATTATGGTGTGAAGTAGAGCTCTATTTTTATTTTTATATAGAAATAACCAAGTCTCTCATTTCCATTTAATTTCCATACAAGCACAGCTGTTTCTGGGAGCCCTATTCTATTCCATTGTCACTTCATCTACCCCTGGCCTAAGACTATCTTTGATATCTGGGTAGGTGATTGCATCCATCATCTTAGTGTTCTGAGAACTCAATCCAGGTCTCCCTACAGGTGACAGGGAGCCAGTGACACGGGCCAGCCACACTGCTTCCCAGGGTCTGCATGAGCAGATTCTAGAGGAAGGCCCTTAATGCACTTACTTGTTAAATCAAGTTCAACAAAACAATCTCTGGCAGCATTTTAACTCTAATTGCATGAGTTTACAGACTAACTTGGGAGTAACTGATTTCTTATATTGAGTTTTGTCCTCAGAGAAGTAGGTATCTGATAGCACTTCCAGCCTGCATCCGAGTTAAGGTTGTTAGCTGGAAGTTTTGAATGGTACATAGCGTGAATCTGGGCCCCACACATGCATGAGCACTGGTTTGTGGTTACATACACACAGCGAGCTCCTAGCACCCCTCAACCAAAGCCACAATGTAAACAAGTAGGGTTTATTTCTAGATCAACAGTATTATGCTCAATGAGAACCCTTTGTGGTTCCAGTCTTATGCTGTTTTCTATCAGACTCCTTCCCATGAACTGGCATTAAAATTAATTCTCCTGTGCCCTGTATTCCTCAGATCTGCCTACAGGGTAGTTCAGTCACCAGCACTGGCAGATGCCTCCAGGTAACCAGAGGCAGCTCAGTACCCATTAGTCATACTTGTTTACGATCCTGTTTCATTTTCTACTTCGTGCAAAGATTCCTTTTTTTTTTTTTTATCAACTTCAAATACTTATTAAAAATATCAATATCTATCCACATTTTACCTAGCATATTGTTTTTTAGTAGGAATATTGGGAGTATTTTAAATTCTTCCACAACTCAATTTTTATCTGCTGTTTTAGATAGAACTATACAAAAATATCACAGTGACTGCAAACTCCTAATTCTCCATAACTGTTTTTGTTCTGCATATTTCAAGGTTATATTTAAGGTACAAGTTCATAAATATACCTTGTTGGAGTCTTCCTTTTATATACTGACACACTTTATTCTTTAAAGCCTTTGCTAAATGAGCAAATCCCAAAAAGTTAGATACCACACGTTTGCCTTAATTTAACCTGTAATAGTTTTTTTTTTTTTAACCTGTCATTGATACTATCTCAACTCATGTGTTTTGAATTGAACTTGCATTATTTTTAACATATTGTTTACTCAATACTATGTCAATTAATTCCATAACATTGTATATTGTTGCTGATGTTTTGTTGGGGCTTTTAACTGACCAGGATTTTACTCTGTTAGCTGTACCTTCAGACCAGAGAAGGTCTCCCCAGGAAGCTGTTGAACTTATCTGCACAATAAGATGCTAGACTCTAAGCTAGGTATATGCTTGCAATGAAGGAATCTCAACTGAACTTGAACTGTGGTTATGCAGCTAGGTGGAAGAATCCACCATGGAGGGAGGGTTGTGGAAGGGGTGGAGGGAATCCCAGTGCCTATAAAACTGTATCACATAATACAATGTTAACAATAAAAAAAAATAAATAAAGCCTTTGCTGTTTATCTGTCAGACATTGATCATCTGTACCAGTTTCCATGCTTATGGGTGCTTTAAGATATCTCTAAAAAGGAATGCACGGATGGTTTTCTTTTTTATTCAAACTGGTGACTGTGTATTTTTAAAATATTTATTTTTATTGGAAAGGCAGATTTTTATAGAGAAGGAAAGACACAGAACAATTGTCCATCCACTTGGATCACTCCCTGAAAGGTTGCAATGGCCAGATCTGAACTGATCTGAAGCCAGAAGCCAGAAGCCATTTCCAGGTCTCCCATGTGGATACAGGGGCCCAAGGACATTGAGTCATCCTCTGCTGCTTTCCTGGGCTACAAGAGGGAGCTGATGGGAAGTGGAGCAGCTGGGACACAAACCTGTGTTCATAGGGGATGCCAGCATTTGCAGGTGAAGGATTAGCCTATGGAGCCATTAGCCCCAGCTCTGTATATTTAATAAGGAAGATCAGGCCCAGACATTTGCCACGGTGGTTGAGATGCTGCCTGGGAACTATATGTCCCACAATGAGAGCTAGGGTTCAAGTCCTGGCTCTGCTTCCAATTCCAGCTTTCTGCTCATGTGCCTCTGGGAGGCAGTAGGGGCCACTGCAAGAATCTGTGTCACTAGGACTTTTACTCACATGGAAGACTCGGACTGATTTCCAGGCACCTGGCTTAGTCATCTGGGGAGTGACCAAGCAGATGAAAGGTCTCTCTCTGTGCCTTTCAACAAATTAGCTTAATAAAAAAGATTAATCCATCTATATTTATTGTGAAATACTCATATATTTGAAATTCTACTATTTATTTCCTATGTATCATCCTTTCCTTTACTTAAAAAAAAATCTTTCTAAAGTTTTCTTGTTTTCTGCTGAATTGGTCGAGTTTTCAATGTTATCTTCCCCACCTTAGCTGGAAAGAAAGCTACAAATTGAATTTTCATTACTTTAGTTACTTTTTTTGGTATCTTTTCATCATATGTGCTTCATTATGCCTTATTCTTAAGTCTGAAGAGTTGGCATTTCTATTTTCTTCTTGAATATGGCCTGGGTATTATAAAATGTTATACTATCCTATTGAACAAACCTACCTGTACATTTAACAACAATAAGCTGCTGTTACTGTCTAGAACTACACTTGTCAGTTTGGTGGCAACTTGCCACATGTGGTTTCTGAATCCTTGATATGTAGTCAGTCTGCATGGAGATATGCACAGTCTAAAATATACTCTGGACTTAACACTTATCTTTAAAGAAACAAAGTATTTCAGTATTTTAACACTGATTACATGTGGAAATGATAACATTTTGGGGGAAACTAAATTTAACAAAATAAATTATCAAAATCATAGATTTTTTTAAGTGTAACAACTACATGATTTAAAATTCCACATGTGCCTCACATTACATTTCTACTAGCACTAATCTAGTTTGAGTTTCAAAATTGTTTTTAAAGATTTTATTTTTTATTATTTTTTTATTGGAAAGGCGGATACACAGAGAGACAGAGAGGAAGATCTTCCGTCCGATGATTCACTCCCCAAGTGAGCTCAACGGCCGATGCTATGCTGAGCCGAAGCCAGGAGCCTGTTCTGGGTCCCACGCAAGTGCAGGGTCCCAAAGCTTTGGGCCGTCCTCGACTGCTTTCCCAGGCCACAGGCAGGGAGCTGGAAGGGAAGCGGGGCTGCTGGGATTAGAACCGGCGCCCATATGGGATCCCGGGCGTGCAAGGCAAGGACCTTAACCACTGCGCCACCGCGCCACCGCGCCGGGCCCTCAAAATTGTTTTAAATGTATTAAACGTATCCCCCACAAAACTTATTTGCTTTCTGCTATCAGAAATTATAACATTTAACTAATACCATTTTCCTAATACTTACCAATCAAGACGAACAGTTTTCCTGGATATAATATGGTACTGGACATTATTTTTCCTTCACATAAAGATGTTAATATTGTACACCTTTCTCCTGGTGCCAACCATTACCGATGAGGACTCTTTCAGCTGAGCTATCCTGTCGCTATAGGCAATCTGCCTACTGATTTGGTGGCTTTGCAGATGTCCCCTTGATCTCTGATACTCCGTCACCACCACAGCCCGTGTAGCTCTGCCGGACATTGTAAAGCCGGCTTTCAGTGAGGAGCCAGGCCCTTCCTTCCTGAATACTGCATATTTTCAGTAAGTGTAAATTATGTTTTCTATCAGGCTCTGTGTTTTCTTTTTCTATCTGTTTGACATACATCATGATCTTTAATTTTTTAATTACTTTTTAATATTCTTACCTTTTTTCCTGTGTTCTGGGGGAAGTTTTCAGTGCTACTGTCCAATTTACTAATACACTCATCAATGGTGTAAAGGATAAATGTGATCCATCTCTTGTTTCTTGTGATCAACTACATTTTTAATTTCTAAGGGTTCTGGCTCCAGAAAAAGGGATTTTTTAAAAAAACCAATAATACTTCTGATACATATAACTAAATATGTATGTCCTCTATTAGAATATATCCTTTTATAGTAACCCTAGTAATTCAGAGTATCTATTGGGCCCGGTGTGGTGGCCTAGCAGTTAAAGTTCTCACTTTGCGTGTGCCAGGATCTCATATAGATAACGGCTGTAATCTAATGGCTCTAATTGTGGCAGCCCCACTTCCCGTACAGCGTCCTGCTTTTGGCCTGGGAAAGAGATTGAGAACAGTCCAGAGCTTTGGGACCCTGCACCTGCATCAGAGACCTGGAAGAAGCTCCTGGCTCCTGGCTTCGCATTGGCTTAGCTCCAGCCATTATGGCTGTTTGCTGAGTGAATCAGTGGATGGAAGATCTTTCTCTCTGTCTCTCTTCCTCTCTCTGTATGTATATCTGACTTTCCAATGAAAATAAATAAATCTCTAAAAAATTTTTTTCTAAGAGTTCTACTTGCTTCTATATTACATCAGCCTGTTCTCGTTTTACCTCTTTTTTTCAAGATTTCCAATTCTTTTCCATTGGAAAGTACCTCAATTTCTCTGAGCATTCAAGAAAACAAAAACCACAAAAAACTCAACCAAGGGAATACTATGCACACGTTAAAAAGAGTAAGATCATTTCACAGGCACTAATATGGAATGATCTCTAAGTATGTTCAGTGAAAAAGGTAAGGTATATATAAGAAAATATATAGAATGTGACCATCTATATAACAGTATATGTATGTGTGTGTGGATGTTTATATTTATACACAGAGAGACATTTATCTGTATGCTTACACATGCATAAACTCTCCGAAAATGCAGCAACAGATTGGTAATAGTGGTTGCCTCTAAGAAGGGAACTGGGCGGCGAGGCGGCAGAGGCGGACATACACTTACTTTCCACTGTTTACCCTTTTGTACCTTTGAATTTTGTATCACGTGCATGTATTACCTAGTCAAAAAAAATAAAATAATTTTTTTATAATGAAGCTTTTGTTGGACTACTCCATAAAACTCATTTTTTTCCAGAGAAAATACCTGTTCTGGTGGTTCATTTTTGTTATATTAATATCTTTATCAACCTTGGTTAATAGTCTCATTCTGAGTATGAAAGATTTAAAATTTTTTTTCCCTCTTTCTTCCTAGTTTATGGCTTTAGATTTGCCCCCGACCAGGCCTTCTGGGTGTTCAGTCCACAAGCAGGTCCTAAGGGGACATCTCAGGTCCACCTGCACGATGATATACACATTGTTAGTGACTCAGCAAACGGCTTCATTCAATTTCTAATGATGGAGCTATCAGCTAAAACCTACAGCTCCAGCTTCAGTGTAAAGTGCTGCTTTCTTTTTCAGCCATTCACAAAGGACACGGACATTTCAACCAAGCAGCCAGCTTCACGCAGCAATTCTGGCTCTTGTTCCTGCCTCACATGAAACACTTCAGCACGTTTTAATCCTTTTGTCTGACAGAAGTAAAACCCTTAGATGTCAGTGCTGGACTGAAAACCCAGCAGGCCTGTGGTTTCCCTCCGGCTCACAGCTTTTGTCTATACTCCATTTCTGGCCTCTCGAGATGCTTATGTTGTTTCAGAACTTGGCTGTATTGTTTATGCTATTTAATTTAATTTGTTATTCTACGTATTTGGAACTTGAGGTTATACCACAATTCAGTATATTAGCTTGATCAGAAAAAATTTCCACATTTCTTTTTCCACAATATTAAAAGTAATAATAAGTGACAATCTCATGACATAATATACAAGTAATAATCTTATTACATATAGTGTAGAAAATAGACAATTACTTATAATTATTTCTTTAGTCAATCTACTGAAAAATTCAAAAATGTTCCTAAAGCTTTTCTTCAGCATTTCATATGTATACAATTTTGTTCGTGATTTTCACCTATATTTCCCAAGCATTAGTCCATGTTGCTCTGCACTCTATATGACTATCATTTCAATGACTGCATATGAATCCACTGAACTGTTCAACTATAACTCCCATCCCACTTTACAAAGTTCTCTGCACTTTTTTTTTCCTCTCAGAAAATTGGATTTGATAGGCTGGTGATGGTTAGACAGACTGCCAAAGTTCTACACAGATCAATAATACAAAGGCATCAAAAGCCTAGTGTAATACTTAACTGCAGTTAGAACAATCCTGATATAGGAAAAGACAAACTCATGAAAGTCAAAAGTGCATTTCAGGAAGATTCATGGAAACGGATTCTCAATTCATAAGTATGGATCATCTAGCAATGCTGGGTAACAGATTACATATTTTCACCAACTTTTAACATATTCTTTGAATCACAATAAAGTTCATGCTTTCACTATAATACTTACCTGATATTATTTACACAATCTTCATGAGCTTCAGAAAGAGTTTTTATGTGCTTTGAAGATATAGGATCAAAAAGGAGAACTTCAGTCTGTTCACAGGCAACTGTCAGCACTGACCTGAAAGCAAAATGACCCATTTCTCTTGATTACTCCAATATTATCTCAATATTGATATCATAACTACTCATAATTACACCAGCTATGGATGAAGCACTTTTCTTTCTAGTCTTGTCATTAGCACGTATTTAAAAGACTGTCATTACCCACTGTTGGCAAGAGTAATAGGAAATGGTACTATTTGTCTCTCTCCTGTATTATACTGAATTATAATTGGAGAGTCCCTTTAAAGTATCTCTCAAAAATGTAAACCTTTGACCACCTGCACTGCCTGTAATACAGACTGGCACTTGGTTTGTGCCCAATTGCTCCACTTCTGATCTAACCCCTGGCTAATGGCATGGGGAAAAGTACATGTATCAGGGCCTCTACCATCCAGCAAGCAAACCTAGCTGAAGCTCCTGACTTCTGCCTGGCCTGGTGCAGGCTGCTACAGCTGTCTGAGGAGTTTAACAACCAGCAGAAAGAGGATCTCTCTCTCTCTTTCTGCCCCCAACCACCCATCCTCAATTCCTTCACTCTCTCTGTAACTCTTCAAAAACAAATAACTAAATCTTTTTTAAAAATCAGTTTTAAATACAAAGAAACATGAAAAACAATCTTAAAAGCTTATGGACAATGTGTATTATTTTAAAAACTGTATGCATTTAAAAATTTTCTGCACCAAAATAAACTCCTATTTCTAATTCCTTTTGTCCATTGATACTTTAAAAGAGAGAGAGAATTTATTTTCATTGGAAAGGAAGATTTACAAAAAAAGAGAGATAGACTTTCCATTCACTGATTCACTTTCCACATGGCCACAATGTATGGCTGATCTGAAGCCAGGAGCCTTGAATGTCTTCTTAGTCTCCCAAACAGGTACAGGGTCCCAAGGCTTTGGGTCTACCTGGCCATAAACAGGGAGTGAATGGGAAATGGAGCAAGCAGGACACAAATTGGTACCCAAATGGGATGTCAGAAATTGCAGGTGGAGAATCAGCCACTGAGACATCATGCTGGTCCCCATTGATACCTACAAAAGTTTTCTTGTATAAAGATATACATTGCCCAGCATGGTAGCCTAGCAGTTAAAGTCCTCACCTTGCACGCACTAGGATCCTATATGGGTAATGGTTCTATTCCCAGTAGCCCTGCTTCCCATCCAACTCCCCGCTTGTGGCCTGGAAAGCAGTTGAGGATGGCCCAAAGCCTTGGGACCCTGCACCTGCATGGGAGAACCAGAAGAAGCTCCTGGCTCCTGGTTTCAGATCAATGCAGCTCTGGCTGTTGCAGCAGCCACTTGGGGAGTGAATCAGTGGACGGAAGATCTTCCTCTCCATCTCTCCTCTCTGTATTCCTCCTCTTTGTCTCTCTTCTCTGTATATCTGACTTTCCAATAAAAATTTGAAAATAAATCTTAAAAAAAAAAGATATACCATGTCGGAAAAATGAAAATCCGAAAGCAAATGAGACATATGTGAAGAATAGTTTATAATAAGCTCTCTTGTGCAGAGAGAATAGATTCTAAGACCTCTCAATGGAAGGTGAAATTACAGATAGTACCAAATCTACACAAGCTGTTTTCTTACTGTCCATACATTCCTATGATAAAGCTTAATTTGTGAATTAGATATTAAAGGTATTAACAGGGCCAGGAATGCTGGCTTAATGGCTAAATCCTCGTCTTAGATCCCATATAAGGGGATCCCATTTGGGTGCCAGTTCATGTCCCAGCTGCTCCACTTCCTATCCAACTCACTGCTTGTGGCTTGGAAAAGCAGTTGAATATGGCCCAAAGCCTTGGGACCCTGCACCCGTGTGGGAGTCCCAGAAGAAGCTCCTGGCTTCAGATCAACTCAGCTCTGCCCATTGTGTCCACTTAGGGAGTAAACCAATGAACAAAAGAACTTTCTCTTTCCTCTTTTTGAAATTTGCCTTTCCAATAAAAATAAATGAATCCTAAAAAAATGATCATAACAGGATTAAATAATTAAAAGAGAACAAATATAACTATGGTATAACAAAAATGTGACTGTGATATCATCTGTCTCCCAAAATATCTTACTGTATTGCAGCTCTTAGGAAACTCAGTATACGATCTTTTTCTTTTGTTGATCAGAGTTTTCACCTTTCCGCTTAAGGAAGCTTTCTGGCTTCTCTTTAGCATATCTGAATTGTCAGCATCACTATTTTTTGCTTTGGGGCCACCATTAAGTTCAAAAACTGGGATACTGAATAGTTGATCTGATACCCCAGACAGCTACCAAGTGACTAACCAATAGACAGGTAACATACATGGCATGGACACACTGGACAAATGGATGATTCACATCCAGGTCAGGATGACATAGGACAGAATGGGATTTCATCTCAATACTTGAAATAATGCACAATTTAAAATTTATAAATTGTGCATTGCTGGAATTTTCTTCTTGTTTAAAGTAATAAAATTTCCTTTTTTTAATTTTAATTTTAATTTTTTTATTTTGACAACCTTCACATAGTTAATTAGGGTAAAAAGGTTCAAGGACTACAAGAAAGTGAGTAAGGCTATTACTTTTTCCATATTGTTTCCTTCATGTTTAAAGGGGGGTATTAAGGGAGAAGGCCCACCCAATTTCCCACCCTACCCAGGTCCCGGATGTAGGGTATGCTCTGAGGTTCTTAAAGTAATAACATTTCTACTTATTTATTTGAGAGGCAAAGCAACAGAGAGAGGAGAAAGATCTTCTACCTACTGTTTTACTTCCCAAATGCTCACAACAGGGCAGATCAGGCTGACGCTATGAGCCAAGAACTCTGTCCACACATGGGTTGCAGAAGCCCACGTACTGGAACCACTGGTTTCAGTATACTCCAAGCGTCCCCCATCAGAAACAGAAGCAGTAAGCTGGACAGAAAGCAGAGGTAGGACGTAGGTACTCTGGCATGGAAAGCAGGTGTCCTAAGTGATGGCTGAAACCCTCTGTGCTACTATGGCTCTCCGCCTCCCCAGTTTTTCCATGTAACATGTTTTGAACTGTGGTTGACAAAGCTAAAACCACAGAAAACAAAACTGCGGAAAAGGAGATAGTACTGAACCACACAGAAGTTATAAAGAAAAGGGCAGACAAGATAACATTAGAAAGCACTCCAAAACATGTTTCTTAAAGAGAAAAGTTTCCAGCAAAAACAACCATGCAAAGATAAGACAATTGAGGAGGAAATCACATGTAATCAAGTTATTTATTTCTTCATCAGATTCTCTAACATATATTGGGAAAGATCTGGTACATATTCTGCCTATCAAATCAGTGAGTTCTAGTCAGGTTTAACTTTTTTTTCTTATTGTTGTTTTTGTTTGTTTTAGTTTTGTCTTTTGTTTCAGGCCTTCTCTATGGCAAAAACTTACTTTATAAAAAAATTCATTTATTTATTCATTTTATTACAAAATCATATGTATAGTGAGGAGGAGACAGGAAGATCTCCCATCTGTTGACTCACTCCCTAAGTGGCTGCAACTGCCAGAGCTGCGCCAATACAAAACCAGGAGCCAGGAGTTTCCCCTGGGTCTCCCACACGGGCGCAGAGTCCCAAAGCTTTGGGCCGTCCTTGACTACTTTTCCAGGCCACAAGCAGGGAACTGGGTGGAGAAGCAGCCAGGACATGAACTAGTGCCCATATGGGATCCTGGCATGTGCAAGGTGAGGACTTTCACCACTAAGCTATAGTGCTGGGTATGGCAAAACATATTTTAATAAGCTTTTTACAAATAATATTTTTCATTGTGAAAAGTCAATCATTTATTTTTTAGAAAAAACATTTTTAAAACATTTATTTATACTTCATTTGAGAGAGAGACAAAAATCTTCCATTTTCAGGTTTGATTCCCAACTGCCCACAATAGGGCACTCAGCTCCAGGCCAGAGTCAGGGCCAGGAATGCAATAGGACGGAGTACTTGAGCCATGACCTGCCACCTCCAGAGTGTGCGCCTCAGGAAGACGGCGTCAGGAGCACAGCTGGGTCTCACACCCAGGCTGTGCTATGGGACAGAGGCCTCCCAAGCAGTATTCAGCTGCAATGCTAAAACTCACCCCTATGACTTTTTCTAAATTAAATTTTTGTTTTCTGCACTGCTCTTTCAGATTCAAAGCTAGCAACTAAAATTCTTAGTCTGTGAAACTTCAGGTCTTCTCAATGTTCCAACAATGGTATATATGTATGATAACAGCATATAAAATTTCTTTGTGATCTAAAAAGTTCTTTTTCTACTAGATATAAAAAGATTTGAGTTCATGACTGCTTTCCTGGGCCACAGGCAGGGAGCTGGATGGGAAGTGGATCTGCTGGGATTAGAATCGGCGCCCATATGGTATCCCGGGCGTGCAAGGCAAGGACCTTAACCACTGCGTCATCGCACCTGGCCCAATAAATAAATTTAAAAAAAAAAGGTTTATAGTATATTTACTATGTGACATTGTTTATAAACATTTTTTTTTTTTTCTTGGCTAATACGCTTTCTCTTCAAATGAATTTTCTGGCTTAATCAGGTTCCTAATTTTAAAAAGTTTCAGTGAAAATTGTGATGGGATGATCTCTAACTCTACCCATACTTTAAACAATTTATTTATTTGAAAGGCAGAATGACAGAGACAAAGATAGAGTTATTTCCTGGTTCATTCCCTAAGTACCTGTAACATCCAAAGCTAAGCCAAACCAAAGCCAGGCTCCTGGAGCTCAATCTCATGTGGTGGCAGGGAACCAAGTACTGGGCCATCATTCACTATCTTCCAAGGGTGCACATTAGAAGGATGCTGGATTAGGATTAAAGGAATTGGGGCAGGCCAGGCGCTGTAGCTTAGTGGCTAGAGTCATTGCCTTGAACACATCAGGATCCCATATGGACACCAGTTCTAATCCCAGCAGCTCCACTCCCCATCCAGCTCCCTGTTTTTAGCTTGGGAAAGCAGTCAAGGACAGCCCAAGGCCTTGGGACCCTGCACCCATGTGGAAGACCCAGAGGAAGTTCCTGGTTCC